TCTCACTGCATCTATCTCTCTCTCACACACCGCGTCTGTCTGTCTGTCTGTCTGTCTCACCACATCTCTGTCTTTCTCTCTCTCTGCATCTCTGTCATCCTCTCTCACCGCATCTGTCTCTCTTTCTCTCTCTCACTGCATCTGTCACCCTCTCTCACCGCATCTCTGTCTCTCTCTGTCAATGCATTTCTGTTTCTCACTCTCTCTCCCCATGTCTCTCTCTCATTGCCTCTCTCTCTCTCTCTGTCCCTTTTTTTCACTGCATCTCTGTCTCTCTCTCCGTGTCTTTTCATAGAATCATCATAGAATCCCTACAGTGTAGAAGCAGGCCATTCGGTCCACACCGACCCTTCGAAGAGCGTCCCACCTAAACCCACCCTGTAGCCAATCCCTGCATTCCCCACCCTAGACACGATGGGCAATTTAGCATGACCATTCCACCTAGCCTGCACATCTTTGGACTGTGGGACGAAGCCAGAGCACCCGGAGGAAACCCAGCAGACACGGGGAGAATGTGCAAACTCCACACAGACAGTCGCCCGAGAGTGGAATTGAATCCAGGTCCGTGGTGCTGTGAAACAGCAGTGCTAACCACTGAGCCACCGTGCCACCCATTGCTCTGTCTGTCTCTCACTGTGGCACTCGCATGCTCTCTCTCTCCCTCCCTCTCTTCCCCCTCACTCTCTGTGTCTCTTCCCCCCGCCCCCTGCGTCCCCCCTTCTTTCTCTCTGTTTCCACGTCCCCTCCTCTCTCCGCGTCCTCCCCCCCCCCCACCGCATCCCGCGCTCTCTCACTTTGTCCATGCCCCCACTCGCTGTGTCCATGTCTGTCTCTCTCACCGTGTCTCTGTCTCTCCCTCTCTCACTGACCGCGCCCCTCTCTTTCTCTCTGTCTGTCTCTCTCTGTGTGTCTCTCTCTTACCATGTCTCTGTCTGCCTGTCTCTCACCACATTTCTCTCTTTCTCTCTCTCATCGTGTCTCTGTCTGTCTCTCTCACTGCATCTGTGTGTCTCTCACTGCATCTCTGTGTCTCTCTGTCTGTCTCTCTGTCTCACTGCATTTGTGTCTCTCTGTCTGTCTCTCATTGCATCTCTGTGTCTCTCTGTCTGTCTCTCACTGCATCTCTGTGTCTCTCTCTCTCACTGCGTCTCTGGCTGTCTGTCGCTCCTCTTCCCTGCGCGCCTCTCGCTCGCTCCTCTTCCCTGCGCTCGTGTCTCTGCCTCTGTCCTCGTGTGTCTCTGTTTGTCTCTTTCTCTCTCCCAACGTCTGTCTGTCTCTCTCTGTCTCATCACATCTGTATCTCGCTGTGTCTGTCTCTGTCTCTATCTCTGTCTCTCGTTGCATCTCTGTCTTTTGAGCGCCTGGGTGCGTACAAACACACAAACGTGCACACACTCTGTCTGCAGCATAGCCTTTTACAGCTCAGGCAGACCGTCATCATGTTGCTGATCAATAAGCGCCTATCTAGTCTAGTCTAATTATCCAGCTCTTGGCCCGAGACCTTGTATGCAGTGTGTTTCAAGTGATCATCTAGGTGCTTCTTAAATATTGTGAGGGTTCCAACTTCTATCATCATTTGAGTCAGTGAGTTCTAGGTAGCCACCCTCCAGGTGAAAAAATTCTTCCTTAAACCTCTTTGAAACCTCCTACCTTTTAATCTACATTTATGGCCCCTGGTTATTGACCTGTCTCCTCATGGGAAAAGTTTTTTCCCTATCTATGTCCCTAAAAACTTTGTACACCTCAATCAGATCCTGCCCCTCCATCAGGCTCCTCAAGTCTCTTCATTGCTTCAACCCAGGCAGCATCCTGGGGAATCTCCTCTGAACCATCTTCAATGCAGTCACATCCTTCCTATACTGTGGTGACAGTACTCCAGGTGTGGCTTCACTAACATTACCTTCAACTCCTTCAAAATCTCAAATTGCTGGAGAAACTCGGCAGAAAACAGAATTGACATTTTGGGTCCAGCGATCCTTCTTCAGAGCAGCAAATCCTGGTGAATCATAGAATGCCTACAGTATGGGGGCAGGCCATTCACCCCATCAAACCCACACCAACCCTTTTTGAAGAGCATCCCGCCCCCCATAAATCTGCATTTCCCCATGGCTAATACACTTAGCCTGTACACTATTGGCAATTTAGCATGGCCAATCCACCAAACCCGCTCATCTTTGGACTGTGGAAGGAAACCAGAGCGCCCAGAGGTGACCTGTGCAGACACGAGGGTAATATGCAAACTCCACACAGACAGTCGCCCCATCGTGGAATTGAACCCAGATCCCCTTCTCAAATCTTTCTTAAATGGGCTTCCTTCTTACTCCGAGGTTATGACCTCTAGTCCTACACACTCTCACGAGAGGAAACAACATTTCCGCATCTACCCTGTCAAGTCCTCAAAGAATGTTGTATGTTTCAATAAGATCATCTTTCATTCCTCTAAATTCTAATAGTACAGACCTCATCTACTCAAGCTCCTCTCATAAGACAGTCCCCCCATACCCAGTGTCAGCCGGGTGAACCTTCTCCAGACTGCCTTCAAATTCCTCTCCAGCTTCCCTTAGATAAGGGACCCAAAACCTGAGAGAATGGCTGTCACCTATCATATTGAGTTGAAACATGCATACGGTACATGACCATGTACTTTCTCTCTGCAGAGAATATTTGTACATTTATTTTGCTTATGGTCTATTGCCATTTTCCCTGAGGGAATTGAGAGACAACTGTTTAAGAACATCAAGTTTTTAATCGGAGAGATAATGGCATTTTAATGTTACTGGCTCAGACATGGGCTTAAATGTCACCAGGGCAGGTGGCAAAATTTGAGCTCGATATAAATCTGGAATAAGTAAATTAGTCTAATAGTAATCATGTAACCATTGTCAATTGTTGTCAAAACCCATCTGGTTTTTTTTAATGTCCTTTAGGGAAGGAATTCTGCCATCCTTACCTGTCTATAAAGCCTGCTGAAAGGCATTATGAAAGGAAACTTGCAGGGGCCATCAAAATCAATAAGAAGATATTTTGTAGTCACATAAAGGAAAAGCAGGTGGTCAGGAACAGTGCTGGCCCACTGAACACTGAAAATGGGAATATTTTCAATGACTGTGCAGAAATAGTGGACGTGTTGAACAATTACTTTGTTACAAAATTACACAAGGAGGTTGGCTTGCTGAAAGTCCCAAGGGAAATAATAGTGGATCAGGGACGGGGACTAAATAACATTAGTGTAAGTTAAATATTGATAATATGAAGTTATGATACCAGCAAGTGACAAATCTGCAGGAACTGATGGATTCCATCTGAAGTTGTTAAAGGGTGTAGGGGAGCACGTAGTAGATACACTAACTATAATGGGAAGTTCCCCAGATTCAGGAGTCATCCCACTGGATTGGAAGATTGCATATTTCATGCCACTTTTTAAGAAGGGGGTAGAGGAAAACCAGGGAATTACAGATTAGTTAGCCTAATAGTTGTGGCGTGGAAATTATTGGAGCCTATAATCAAGGATGGGGTAACTGAATGCCTTAAATTTTCAGTTAATCAGGAAGAGGGTGGATTCATGACAGGTAGCTCAAACTTGACAAACGTTATTGAACTTTTTGAAGAGGTGACTAAGGTAGTGGACAGGGGAATGTCTGTGGATATGGTTTAAATGGACTTGCAGAAGGCAATTGATGTAGTCCCATGTAAGAGACTGTTAACTAATGTAGAAGCCCACCCAAGTGAGGGAAAATTACTGACATGGCTGGAAAATTGGTTGAGTTGCAGGCAACAGAATATAGGGATATTGGGTCGATTCCCAAATTGATGCGGTGACCAGTGGTGTCCCACTAGGATGTGTTAGGGCTTCAATTATTCAAATTATCTATTAACAACTTGGATAATGGCATAAAAAGTCATATATCCAAATTTGCTAATGACACAAAGTTAGGTGGCATTGTTGACAGTGTAGAAGAAAGCATAAAATTACAAAAATATTGAAAGACTAGGTGACTAGGCAAAACTGTAGCAGATGGAGTTCCATGTAAGCAAGTGGGGTTATTTGTTTTGGACCAAGAAAAGATAGATCAGGGTACTTTCTCAATGGTATGAAGGTAAATACAGTCGATGTCCAATGAGACTTGGTGGTTGAGATGCGTTGATCTTTAAAATGCCATCAACAGGTACAGAAAATAAGCAAGGAAGTTAATAGAATGCTGGCTTTTATGTCTCAAGGACTGAAGTACAAGGATGCAGGTGTTGTGTTGCAGTTGTACAAAACCCTGGTTAGACCCCACTTGGAGCACTGTGAGCAGATCTGGGCACCACACCTTAGTAGGGATATATTGGCCTGGAGGGGGTACAACGTAGGTTTACAAGAATGATACCAGGACATTAGGGGTTATGCTGTAGGGGAGATACTAGAACTTGGAGACATAGACTAAACATTACGGCCAGATTGTTCAAGAGAAATGTTAGGAAGCACTTCTACAGACAAAAGATGATAGAGATTTGGAACTCTTTTCCATAAACAGCAGTTGATGCAAGATTAGTTGTTCATTTTAAATCTGAGATAGATAAATTTTTAAGCAATGGCATTAAGAAATATGGGCCAAAGGCAGGGAAATGGTGTTAGGCCATAAGTTGTCTGTGATCTCCTTGAAAGGCTGAATAGGCTTGAGGGGACGAATGGTCTATTCCTGTTCCTATGTGACTCCAGACAGAGTGGGTGACTTTTAAGTACCCTGTGGGCAACAAGGGACAGGCAATAAATGCTAGCCTAGCCAGTAGCATTCTCATCCCATGAATGAATTTTAAAAAAAGATCCCTGAATGACCCAAGTGGATTCTTGCAAAAATCCTATGGCTATTGTTGGATCATTTATTTGGTGCCAGCTGGCAATCAGTTACTTAACCAACCTTGAGTGTGATCCTCACTAATGGTGTGTCTTTTAATCCACCATGTGGTACTGTCACTACATCGGCTGCTGTCTGACTGGGAACGTTACTGTTTTGCAGAGATGACCATGGTTTCAGTCCCCTCCACTGGGCCTGCCGTGAGGGGCGATCCAATGTTGTCGACATGCTGATAATGCGTGGAGCTCGGATCAATGTGATGAACCGGGGTGATGACACGCCGCTACACCTTGCTGCCAGCCATGGGCACCGCGATATTGTACAGAAGGTAGGGACTTTCCAGGGCCTGTCGGAGATGTTCTATTATGCTGGGTCCAGACTGTTGGATCTTTAAGAATCAAACAAAATTCTCAACTTCTTTTTAACAAACCATCTTCCCCATCCCTCAAACCCCCACCCACCTCCCTCTCCCCACATTCTGCAATCCCTCACTTTCTCCAGTGCATCTTGTAGATAGTACACACTGCTGCCACTCAGTGTCGGTGGTGGAGGGAGTGGATGCTTGTGGATGTGGTGTCAGTCAAGCGGGCTACTTTGTCCTGAATGGAGTCAAGCTTCTTGAGTGTTGTTGGGGCTAAACTCATCCAGGCAAGTGGGGAGTATTCCATCACACGCCTGACTTGTGCCTTGTAGATGGTGGACAGATTTTGAGGAGTCAGGAGATGAGTTACTTGCTGCAGTATTCCTAGCTTCCAACCTGCTCTTATAGCCACCGTGTTAATGTGGTGAGTCCAGTTGAGTTTCTAATCAATGGTAACCCCCAGGATGTTGATAGTGGGGGATTCAGTGATGGTAACACCATTGAATGTCAAGGCACGGTGATTAGATTGTCTCTTATTGGTGATGGTCAGTGCCAGGCATTTGTGTGGCGTGAATGTCAGCCCAAGCCTGGATATTGTCCAGATCTTGTTGCATTTGAACATGGACTGCTTCAGTATCTGAGGAGTCACGAATGGTGCTGAACATTGTGCAATCATCGGTGAACATCCCCACTTCTGACCTTATGATGGAGGGAAGGTCATTGATGAAGCAGCTGAAGATGGTTGGGTCTAAGACACTACCTGAGGAACTCCTGCAGAGATGTCCTGGAGCTGAGATGACTGACCTCCAACAACAAAAACCACCTTCCTACATGTCAGGTATGACTCCAACCAGTGGAGAGTTTGCCCCCTGTTACCCATTGTTTCCAATTTTGCTAGGCCTCCTTGATGCCACACTCGGTCGACTGCAGCCTTGGTGTCAAGGGCTGTCACTCTCATCTCACCTCTGGAATTCAGCTCTTTTATCCATGTTTAAACCAAGGCTGTGATGAGGTCAGGAGCTGAGTGGTCCTAGCGGAACCCAAACTGGGCATCACTGAGCAAGTTATTGCTAAGCAGGTGCTGTTTGATAGCACTGTTGATGATACCTTCCATCACTTTACTGATTATCGAGAGTAGACTGATGGGGGGGGTAATTGGCCAGGTTGGATTTGTCCTGCTTTTTACGTACAGGATGTATTTGGACAATTTTCCACATTGTCACTGTCCGCAGGTGTCGTGCTGGAAGATTGGAGAGAGGCAAACGTCATTCCCTTGTTCAAAAAGGGGAATAGGGATAACCCCGGAAATTACAGGCCAGTTAGTCTTGCATCAGTGGTGGGCAAATTATTGGAAAGGGCTCTAAGAGATAGGATTTATGATCACTTGGAAAGGCACAGTTTGATTCGTGATAGTCGGCATGGATTTGTGAGGGATAGATCATGCCTCGCAAACCTTATTGAATTCTTTGAAGAGGTGACCAAACAAGGGAATGAAGGTTGAGCAGTGGATGTGGTATACATGGATTTAAGTAAGGTGTTTGATAAGGTTCCCCATGGTAGGCTCATGCAGAAAGTAAGGAGGCATGGGATGGGGGAAATGTGGCAGATTGGATTCAGAATTGGCTGACCCTTAGAAGAAAAAGGGTGGTAGTGGACAGAAAACATTCAGCATGGTGCTCAGTTACGAATGGTGTACCACAAGGATCAGTCCTGGGTCCTCTTCTATTTGTGATTTTTGTAAATGATTTGGATGAAGGAGTGGAAGGGTGGATTAGCAAGTTCGCGGACAATACGAAGGTGGGTCGCGTTGTGGACAGTGCGGAGGGCTGTTCTAGGTTACAAAGGGACATTGATAGGATGCAGAGCTGAGCTGAGAAGTGGCAGATGGAGTTTAACCCTGAAAAGTGTGAGGTGATTCATTTTGGAAGGACAAACTTGAAAGCAGAATACAGGGTTAATGGAAAGATTCTTGGCAGTGTGGAGGAGCAGAGGGATCTTGGGGTTCATGTTCACAGTTCCCTGAAAGCTGCCACCCAGGTGGATAGAGTTGTTAAGAAGGCGTATGGTGTGTTAGCTTTCATTAATAGAGGGATTGAGTTCAAGAGCCGTGAAGTTATGCTCCAGCTATTCAAAAGCCTGGTTCGGCCACATTTGGAGTATTGTGTCCAGTTCTGGTCACCTCTTTACAGGAAAGATGTGGAAGCATTGGAAAAGGTGCAGAGGAGATTTACCAGAGTGTTGCCTGGAATGGAGGGAAGGTCTTACAGGGAAAGGTTGAGAGAGCTAGGACTTTTCTCTTCAGAACGACGAAGGATGAGAGGTGACTTGATGGAGGTGTACAAAATGATCAGAGGTATAGATAGAGTGGACAGCCAGAGACTTTTTCCTAGTGTGGAGGTAGCTATTGCGAGGGGGCATAATTTTAAAGTAAGTGGAGTTAGATACAGGGGAGACGTCAGAGGTAGGTTCTTTACTCCAGAGTGGTAGGGGCGTGGAATGCATTGCCGGAGAGGGTAGTGGAGTCGGCCTCATTAGGGGCATTTAAGCGGCAATTAGATAGGCATATGGATGATAGTATAAGGTAGGGGGGTGGAGGTTAGATAGACCTTAGGATTAGGGTAAAAGTTCGGCACAACATTGTGGGCCGAAGGGCCTGTACTCTGCTGTACTGTTCTATGTTCTATTGTTGGGTAGGTACCAGTGTTGTAACTGTACTGGAACAGCTTGGCTAGGGGAGCGGCAAGTTCTGGAGCACAAGTCTTCAGTACTATTGCCGGAATGTTGTCAGGGCCCGTAGCCTTTGCAGTATCCAATGTCTCCAACCATTTCTTGATATCACGTGGAGTGAATTGAATTGGCTGAAGACTGGTATCTGTGGTGCTGGGGACCACTGGAGGAGGCCGAGATGGATCATCTATTCGGCACTTCTGGCTGAAGATTGCTGCGAATGCTTCAGCCTTGTCTTTTGCACTGATGTGCTGGGCTCTTCCATCATTGAGGATGGGGATATTTGTGGAGCCTCCTCCTCCAGTGAGTTGTTTAATTGTCCACCACCATTCACATCTGGATGTGGCAGGACTGCAGAGCTTAGATCTGGTCGTTAATTGTGAGATCATTTAGCTCTGTCTATCACTTGCTGCTTTTACTGTTTGGTGTGCAGGTAGTCCTGTTTGGTGGCTTCACCAGGTTGATACCTCATCTTCAGGTATGCCTGGTGCTGCTCCTGGCATGCCCTCCTGTGCTCTCCATTGAACCAGGGTTGATCTCCTGGCTTGATGGTAATGGTTGACTGGGGGATATGCCGAGCCATGAGGTTACAGATTGTGCTGGAGTACAATTCTGCTGCTGTTGATGGCCCACAGCTCCTCATGGATGCCCGGTCTTGAGTTGCTAGATCTGTGCGAAGTCTGTCTCATTTTGTACGGTGATAGTGCCACACAGCACGATGGAAGTTATTCTCAATGTGAAGGCGGGACTTCATCTCCACAAGGACTGTGTGATGGTCACTCTTACCGATACTGTCATGGACAGATCCAACTGCAGATGGCGGCTTGGTAAGGATGAGTTCAAGTATGTTTTTCCCTCTCGTTGGTTCCCTCACCACCTGCTGCAGACCCAGTCTAGCAGCTATGTCCTTTAGGGCCCGACCAGTTCGATCTGTAGTACTGCTGCCGAGCCACTCTTGGTGGTGGACGTTGAAATCCTCACCCAGAGTACATTTTGTGCCCTTGCCATCTTTAGTGCTTCCTCCAAGTGTTGTTCAACATGGAGAAGTACCGATTCGTCAGCTGAGGGGGACGGTGTGTGATGATCAACAGGAGGTTTCCTTGCCCATGTTTAACCTGAAGCCATGAGACTTTGTGGAGTCCAGAGTCAATGTTGGGGACTCCCAGAGCAACACCCTCCTGACTGTATACCACTGTGTCGCCCCCTCTGCTGGGTCTGTCCTGCTGAAGGGACAGGACATATCCAGGGATGGTGATGGTGGTGTCTGAGTGTCACTGTGTTAGGCTGTTGCTTGACTAGTCTGTGAGACAGCTCTCCCAATGTTGGCACTAACCCCCAGATGTTAGTGAGGAGGACTTTGTAGGGTCGTTGTCTTGTCCGGTGCCTAGTCAATGCCAGGTGATCCATCCAGTTTTATTTCTTTGAGACTTTGTAGCGATTGGTACAACTGAATGGCTTCCGAGGCCATTTCAGAGGGCAACTGAGAGTCAACCACATTGCTGTGGGTCTGGAGTCACATGTAGATGAGGGTGGCAGATTTCTTTCCCCGAAGGACATTAGTAAACCAGATGGGGTTTTTTTCCGATAAGCGGCAATGATTTCATGATGGTCAGTAGATTCTTAATTCCAGACTTTTTAAAATTCAAATTCCATTATCTGCCATGGTGGGATTCAAACCCGGGACCCTGGAGCATTAGCTGCGTTTCTGGATTAATAGTCTAGCGTTAATACCGCTAGCCCATCACCTACCCATGATTCCTAAAGCCTTCCCTCCTGAGACTGTCATGCTGCATGGTCCTCGGTGAAAGACGACAGGGTGGTTTGTATTCCATCCCTCATCAGGTTTGAATTCGTGGAGCTCAGCAGGGGAGGTTCTGTGAAGTTGTTTCAACTGCACTCAATGTTCCCAAGTTAGGAGTACGAAAAATGTCAGTCAGAGTTCCCATTACTCACCTCCATGGGGTGAGGTTGTGTGTTTGCATGCGTGTGCTTTATTTGTTCATAGTTGCATACTCTCGTTTTGTGTGTAAGGTTTGTTTTTGTTTTTCTGCATGCCCTCACTGAATGTCTTGTTCATGGATATTGCTGAGGCTGTCACAGGTTCACAGCATGAGGGTGTCACTGGCTCAGCCAGCATTTATTGCCCATCCCTAATTGGCCCAGAGAGCAGTTAAGAATCAGCCAAATTGCTGTGGGTCTGGAGTCACATGTAGGCAGACCAGGGAATTAATGTCAGATTTCCTTCCCAAAAGGACATTAGTGAACCAGATGGATTTTTATGACAATTGACAATGGTTATACGGCTGATGAACAGGAGTATTAAAGGTTACAGGGGGAAGGCAGGAGAATGGGTTTGAGAAACATATCAGCCATAACTCAATAGGCCAAATGATTATGTTCCTAAATCTTAGGGTTTTATGGTCATCATTTGGTCAGCAAGGTATTAGATTGACATACAGAGGGGGGCCAAGCATGTCCTGCCTCTCTCTGAGCTATACACCTCACACTTTTGTTATTCTGGGTCTGTTTTGAGTTCAGGTGAATCACTATCTGCATTTGTGTCCACAGCTTATCCAGTGCAAAGCAGATGTCAGTGCAGTGAATGAACATGGGAACACACCACTGCATTACGCTTGTTTCTGGGGTCATGACGAGGTGGCCGAGGTAAGAGTTTGTGTCACACTCTGTTCACAGTCTCTGACACACCAGCAATCGGTTTTTGCATGGATCTAAAGTTTGCATGTCTACAGCATGACTCAACTCTTGTGACTAACATGAACTGCACAACATGAGTAAATTGGTTCCAAATTTCACTCGCACCCTGTGCTGTCACTGTTGGCATCAGTGAGATATTGATGATGTGAGGTATCACAAAATGCTTGCAGTACGGGGAAGACATTTGGCTGCTCCCACCCATGCTGGCTAATTGCAGGACACCTCAGCAAGTCCCACTTCCACAACCATTCCCATTAAATCTGCTAATGATTCCCGTTCAGATCCTTATCTAATTCCCTCTTGAATGTGTCAATTGAATCTGCCTCCATCATACACTCAGACAGCATATTCCAGATCCTAACCACTCGAGTGAACCTGCCTCCCCCACACTCTGACAGCACATTCCAGACCCTAACCTTTCAAGTGACCCTGCCACCCCTCACACACTCAGACATTACCCCCTACCACTCACTGTGTGGATTTTTTTCTTATTTCATTGTCCGTTCTTTTATCTATCACCTTACGTGGGTATCTTCTGTTCTGCAACTCTTCTGCCAATGGGAGCACTTTGACAATTGGGCACGAATCAATCATTTTAGCAGTGTTATCATCAGCCCACAGAACTGGAACTTCCCTGGTCACTTATGCAACCAACATTCCGTCTGCCACAGACAGGTATTCCAGTTCCTGCAAAGCTTGTTAAACAGTGCACTGTCACACTGCACTGACTGAGTTTTTGCTTGGATGCTCAACTGTTAATTCAGTCCTGGCTATGTAATATACTGTATGTAAACACTTTGATTAGATTCTAGCCTGTAACACATTCCATATCAACATATGTAGCTATATACTCAATTGTCAGTTTTACATGTGCAATTCCTGGTAACATTTTGCAGTCTTTTAGCAAACTAGTCACCCTGTAACTGGACTCTCCCATCACTGTGAAGCCACAGTCAATACAATGTGGAGCTGGAGGAACACAGCAGGTCAGGCAGCAGCAGAGGAGCAGGAAAGTCGACGTTTTGGGTTTATGCCCTTCGTCAGGACTGGGCAGAGGGAAGCGAGGTTGGAAATAAATAGAAGGAGGAGGGTGGGACTCGGGGAAGGACCGATTCACAGATCAGCCGATGGCCTTAACATGGAATTCACCGGTTTCAAAATCTCCCCACCCCCAGCCTCATCCCATGACCAACCCTCCCTCTCATCCCCACTTCCTTGACCTGACACAACCTATCCAACTCCTCTCCCACCTATCCGCCCCATCCTTCCCACTGATCAATCCCCATTACCCCCATGTACATCCACCTATTGCCATCCCACCTACCTTCCCCAGCCCCACTCCCCTCATTTATTTCCGAGCTCCCTTTCCCCTCCCCATTCCTGATGAAGGGTGTAAACCCAAAATGTCAACTCTCTTGCGCTTCTGATGCTGCCTGACCTGCTGTATTCCTCCAGCTCCACACTGTATTGACTCTGATTCCACATCTGCAGTTCTTGCTATCTCTGTATGAAGCCCCAGTGTCATCACTGCCATGATGACTTAGTTACAGGGTTTGTAAATGTACCTTTTGTTATGCAACTTACCCGGCAGAAATGAAATGACAGGGCAGAATACCTGATTTAAACTAGGAATCTGTCTTGTGTTTCCTAGACCCTCCTTACTTGAAGCATATTGCAGAACAACTGTAAAATCTCCACCAACAAACTTAATTTCCTGTTGTGTATATTTTTGGCTTGAGATCCACATTGAAAATGTAATGTCACCAAAGATAATGGGAAATGTTGGAATGAATGGATCCTAGTGACAATGTAAAGACAGCCTTCCGGGACTGGGTCGTGAAATTCCAACATAATCACCTCATACACCGGGATCTGTGAAGCAGGAGATCCGCTTGTAGTTTTTCTGGTCTTTTCCCTTTCAGGATCTAGTGCTGAATGGAGCCCTCGTTAGTATCTGCAGTAAGTATGGAGAGACCCCACTGGACAAAGGAAAGGCACACTTACGGGAGCTACTGAAGGGTACGTACACTACTTTATCCAACCCATTACATGGTGGAGGGTCAGGTAAAATTCAGGAAGTGACTGTGGCTTTGCTGTACATGTCAGTATATAAACCTCTCACCCTCTTAGTCTCAATCCTTTTGCCCTCACCCCTCTTGCTTGCACCCCTTTCACATTCTCCTCACTCTCCCTTGCTCACACTCCTGTCACCTTTTCCTCTCTTACTTTCCTCTCCTCTCTCGCCCTCTCTTGTGTGTACCTCTTTGCTTGTCTTGTTTTAATTCTGCCTTCCTGCAATATGTCTGTCATTGGCAAGGCCAGCATTTGTTGCCCTTCCCCAATTGTCCTTGAGCTGAGGGGCTTGCTAGACCATTTCAGATGGTAGTCAAGAATTGACCACATTGCTGTAGGTCTGAATTCACGAGTAGATCAGACCAGGTAAGAACGGTGGATTTCCTTCCCAAAGAGCATCAGTGAAGCAGATGGGTTTTCACAACAATTGAAAGGTTTTATTGTCATAATTATGGTGACTCTCATTTAATTCCAGATTCATTAATTGAATTTTAGTTCCAACAGCTGCAGTGCTGGGAACTGAACCTATGTCCATGACCATTAGCCTTGATCTCTGGGTTGACGAGTCTAGTGATGTTACCACTGTCCTCCCATATTGCCAGTCTGTAAAAAACATAGAACAGCATAACACAGGAACAGGCCCTTCAGCCCATAGCACTGACCATCTGAACTAATCCTATCTGTCTACACCTGATGTACCCCTGTTCTCCCTGGTTGTTCATATGTCCATCTAGATGTCTTTTAAACAATTGTCTCAAATATGTTACAAGTCTTTTCTCTGCATGCATTTCCTATCTGTATCACTTGACTCCCTGCTATCATGTTTTACCACATTTCTGAGTTAATTTTTCCCATTGCAATGTTTAATCTGGTTCTGGCACATGGACACAACTGGCAAGGTCACATTTCCTAATTGGAATGTGAGCATTTAGAATCCACCTCAACCTGTGGGATTTGAATCATTGGGAGTAACTGCATGCACAGATAAGATTTATAATGTGTTTGAGGCATTCATATAGATAGCGATCAAGGAAGATCATGATGTAGTGATTGTATCACTAGACTAGTCATCCAGATACTCAGGCTAATGCTGAAGGTTCAAATCCCACCATGGCAGCTGGTGGAATTTAAATTCAATTAAAAAACTAGTCTCAGTGATGGTGATCATTCTTTTCAAGAGGGCTAGAATACAAAAGCAGGGACGTACTGCTGGAGCTGTATAAGGTGCTGGTCAGACCGCATATGGAATGTTATGAGCAGTTTTGGGCCCAGTATCTAAGAAAGGATGTCCTGGCATTGGAAGGGGTCCAGAGGAGATTGACAAGAATGATCCCAGAGATGAAGGGCTTGTCGTATGAGAAGCAGTTGAGGACCTGACGGCAAACCATTCATTTCAAGGGGCAATTAGGGATGGATAATAAATGCTGACCTTGCCAACGATACTGACATATCATGAGCAAATAAAAACGATGGAAGCTATGCTACAGTTGGATAATGCTCTGTTTAGGTCCCACCTGGTGTAAATACATCTCAAAAAGGATACATCAACTTTGAAAGGCACTCAGTGCAGCTTCACCAGAATGTCCCCAGATCAGGTTCTCTGGGCTGGACTTGAATTCTGTTGACGAGGGAGGATTGATGTGTGACCTAATTGAATTATTTAAAGAAATGAAATGGTTCAATAGCAGTAGAATTTCTGATAAAGAAGTGGGAGAAGTTATTTCCTAAGAGGATGTTGTGGTATAGTGGTAGCATCTCTACCTCAGGGCTAGGAGGCCTGGTTCATTTCCCACTTTGTTGAGAGGTGTGTAATAACATCTCAAAAATATCTACAAGTGATTTCTGTGGAGGGGAGAGGGCCAGAATGAGGGGACAGAGCCTTCACTTTAGAGTCAGGCTATTCAGGGATCATGTGAAGAACCACTTCACACCAAGTGAATGGGAATCCACAGTTCTATCCCCACAAAGACTGTGGCTTTGGGCAGAACTGAAATTAATCAAATTTATTGGGTGAAATGGTTTTGAAGCTAGAAGGTAAGTATGTAGATGATGTTAAGGTATACAGTAGCCATAGCCTTAATTGTAAAATGGGACAGACTCAAGGGATGAATGGATCCTCCTGTTCCTATGTTCTTGTTGCATTTCTCTATTTCTTGAATTCATTATTCAGAAAAATTGATTAACCAGAAAGAAAGTGGCACAGTTAGAGAACTGAAATGTGATGAAGTGGGATGGTTTTATTTTTGGACCAAAATGACACAATCTCCTCGTTTTTAACCAAGTGAACTAATGTGATCTTACTGTATCTGCTGACCATGCATGGTTCAGTGCAGTGGTCAAAATAACTTCCTTTGAAACCCATTGTATATGGAGCTTTGTCATTCTATTCTGCGTTAAGTTCGGTATCAGAGACTGTGATGGATTCGAACTGTACGATATGGGGTTTGAGATGCTCCCTTGGAAATACACACATGTTAATGTTCTTTTATTCCTGTTCATCTCACCCTTAACTCTCTCTGTCTTTTTTCCATCACAGAACGTGCAGAGAAGCTGGGCCAGAGTCTGACAAAAGTACCCTACAAGGACACCTTCTGGAAAGGGACAACTCGCACTCGCCCCCGTCAGTGACCCCCTAAATTTTACTCAAAATTGATTGCAGTGGAATTCATGATTAATTGTATCTGAGCCAAGTTAAGGGTAACTTAGGAGCATGGGAATAATCAGATAAGAGAAGACCAAAGTCTGCTTCACCAAGTGACCAGATCATGACCTGAACTGTACTTTCCCACCTGTTCCTGATAGCCTTTGACTCCTTTCAGTGACCCCGCTCCACCATTGTCTGAGGAAGAGAATTCCTCAGACTAATGACTCTCTGAGAGGGAAAAAAAAAGTCTTGTCATAAATGGGAATTCTCTTACTTTGAGACTGAGTTCACTAGTTCTTCACTCCCACAAGGGGAGGCCTACTCTCAGCATCCATACATATATAAGGTCACCTCTCATTCTTCTAAACTCCACTGGATACAGGCTGAACCTGTCTAACCAGTCCTCATAAGAAAACTTGTATAATTCTCCATGTTAACTGCAGAAGTTAAGGGTCTAAATTGGGAGAAGGCTAATTTCAATAGCGTTGGACAGATAGCAGGTTTAAAAGAGAGGCAAGGAGAAATTACTTCTCTCAAAGGGTCATGAATGTGTTGAATTCACTAGCCCAGAGTGCAGTGGATGCTGAGACATTGAATAAATTTAAAGAGGAGATAGGCAGATTATTTAATTAATAATGGGTTGATGGGTTGTGGGGAGTGGGCAGGAAAGTGGAGTTGAGGCCAAGATGAGATCAGCCATGATTGCATCAAATGGTGGAGCAGGCTTGAGGGGCTGAATGGCTTTCTCCTGCTTATAGCCCTTGCACTCTAAACAGCAAAAGCAGCAAGTAATAGGCAGAGCTAAGCGATCCCACAACCAACAGATCAGATCTAAGCTCTGCAGTCCTACCTGGTGGTGGATGATTGAACTGGAAGAGGAGCTTCCTCAAATGTCTCTATTCTCATTGATGGGGGAGATTGGCACATAGTACAAAATATAAGGCTGAAGCATTCACTATAATCTTCAGCTAGTCATGCTGAGTGGATGATTTGTTCAGGCTTCCCCCAGAGGTCCCCATCATCATAGATGCACAGTCTTCAGCCAATGCGAATCACTCCATGTGATATCAATAAATAGTTGGAGACTGGATACTGCAAATATTATGGGCTCTGACAACATTCTGGCAATAGTACTGAAGACATGTGCTCCAGCACTTGTCACACCCTTAGCCAAGCTGTTACAGTACAAAGACACTCTTACCTGACAATGTGATAAAGTACCTAGCCACTGACGCTCACATCCCATGCATGAATTTTAAAAAACAACAAATCCCATCCCAGGAATCAGTCGAGTAAACCTCTAAACTGCTGCTAATACAATGATGTCCTATCTTAAAATTAAAACCTGCATAATGCTCAAGATATGGTCTCACCAATGCCCTGTACAACAGTGGCAACATACTGAGATATTCCATTCCTTTTGCAATAATTGACAATATGCCATTTGCCTTCCTAATCACTTGATTACATTTTGTGATTCATGTATTAAAACACTCGGACCCCTCTGTACCTACAAGTTCTGCAATCTCTTTCCATGGAAGTGTTATAACTTAATTTGCTGCTTCTCTATTCTTCCTGCCAAAGTAAACAAGTTCACATTTTCCCACATTATACTCCATCTGCTACGTTATTACCCATCCAGTTAATCTACCTCTAATCTCTCTGCAGATTCCTCTTCATAATTTACTCTTCTGTCTTTGTGCCATCAGTGAATTTAACAGCCATACCTTCAAATCGTTGAAAGAGATTGTAAATAATTGAGGTCCCACCACTGAACCTGTGACATTCCAATAATTGCATATTGCCTACTCAAAATTGACGCTTTAAATAATTTAAACAAATACTTAAAATATTTGTTCATGGGGTGTCACATCACTTGCAAGGCCAGCATTCATTACCCATTCCTTATTGCTCAGAGGGCAGTGAGAGTGGATCCAGAGTCACACGTAGGTCAAGCTGGGTAAGGCTGGCAGATTTCTTTCCCTAAAGGACATTAGTGAACCAGATGAATTTTGTGACTGTTGACCACAGTCACATGGTCATCGTGAGGACAGCTTTTCATTCTAGATTTTCATTGAATTCAGTTTTCACCATCTGCCATGGGGGTGCGGAAGTTTGAACCCATGTCTGGATTACTAGTCCAGTGACGTTACCACTCCACTACCTCCTATCCCTCACTTTATGGCTTCCCTCTTTCCTGTAAGTTAGCCAATGCTCAATCCATTCTGCTAAGTTATTGTTTACTTGGCTGTCATTTTATGTAATAACCTTTGATGTGGCACTTTGTCAAATGTCTTTTGGAAATCCCATAACTCCAACTTCCCTTTTATTCAAGTTGCTTGTTACTCGAAATGTCAAGCCCTCCGCATTGAATCTCAACAGCCCCTTTGTTCTTTGATATATTGAGATGTATCAGCTTCGATGGATGTGAAGGATGGAGCCTGATCTGATGTATGGGGTAGGGGCTGGAGTTTCTCTAAATAGTGGTTAGGTACTGGGTCATGTGGAGATGGGAATTAATCTCTTTGCTATTTATGTCTTTTGCAGGAAATGGAACATTGAATAAACACGCTGGCATTGACTTCAAGCAGCTGACCCTGAATCATAAAATCAATGAGAACCACTCTGGAGAGGTAATCTGCCCTGGCTCAAGTCAACATCCAGAACTGTGTTTGTTGTTTAAATAGGTCTGGTTCAGTAGTCAAGTTAAAGCTCAATAAAACATATCAATGTCTTCACAAATCACTCTTCAGCTCCTTCTCCACCCACTCTTAATGGGGAATGATTTACTAACTCAATGTAAGGGTGAGAGCCAAACAAGCTCTGAGGAGGACACAGAGTGGAAGGGGGGATATGTTAAAGGTTACGTGTGGGCAGAAATTTGGCAAATGGAGTATAGTTTGGGAAAATATGAGGCTGTCCACTTCAGGGAGGACAAAAAAGCAGAATATAATTTAAATACAGAGGAATTATGGAATGTTTGTTATAATTGTGCAGGGCATTGGTGAGATCCTGTGCAGTTTTGACCTCTTAAGTTGGGGATGGGACACTTGCTTTGGAGGCAGCTCAGAAAAGGTTTACTCAGCTAATAGCTGGGATGAGGTGTTTACTTCATGAAGAAAGGTTGTGTAGGTAGCCCGTATACTCATTGGAATCGAGAAGAATTGGAGGTAATCGTATGAAAACATGTAAGGGCTAGACAGTGTTCCTCACATTGAGAGATAGGAACATAGGAGAAGGAATAAGTGATTCAACTCCTTGAGCTGTTCTGCCATTCTGGATCCTGACTGATCATTTACCTCAATACCATATTCCAGCATTATCCCCTTTCCATGGATGTCAGCAGTAACTCCAAACCTATGAATCTCTGTCTTGAACCTTCTCAATGATTGAGCTTCCACAACCTCTGGTGTAGAGAATTCCAAAGATTCTCCAACCTCTGAGCGAAGTTGTTCAGCCTTGTCTCACTTAATAATAGCTTCCCTTTTATTCTGTATGTCTGTAATATACTAGGAGACTCAAAGAAGGTAAAAGCACATGGGATCCTTAGTAACTTGACAAGTTGGATCTAAAATTGGTTTTGTGACACAAGACAGAGGGTAGTGGTAGAGGGTTGTCTGTGCGGTGGGAGCCCGGTGTGTAGTAGTGTACCACAGGAATCAGCACTGGGTCCCTTATTGTTTGTGATATTCATAAATGATGTAGATGGGAATTTGGATGCAATGATAAGCAAATTTGTGGATGACATGAGGATTGGCCAAGTGGTTGAAAGTGAGGAAGAAGGTCTTGGGTTACAGGGGATATAAACAGATTGGTCAGATTGCACTGTAGTGGGTGCAGAGAAGATTCACCAGGATGTTGACTAGGATGGAGCAGGTAAGTGATGAAGAGAGGCTGGATAAGCTCAGGTTGTTTAGTTTGGAGCAGAGAAGGTTTGGGGAGGACCTGACAGAGATGTATAAGATTGTGAGGGGCATGGTCAGGGTGAATGGAAAACAACTGATCCCCTTCTTGAAAGGGTCCATAACAAAGAGGCATAATTTTAAGGTGAAAGGTAGGAAGTTTAAAGGGGTTTTGAGCAAAATGTTTTTCACACAGAGAGTGGTGGGTGTCTGGAATGTGCTGCCTGGGAGGTAGGTTGAGTGGGGAAACCTCACAACCCTTTTAAGAATTTTGTCATGTCTGTGATATCACCTCTCGTTCTTCTAAACACCAGTCAATGCAGGCCCAGTTTCTTCATAGGAACAAGACTTCATACAATCACCAAATTATTACAGAGGAGGAGGCCAGTCGGCACAGCATGCCAGCTCTAAAACATTCACCATTGCCCAGTGCAAAATTCCTGCTTTTTGTCCATACCTTTGTGCATTATTTCTATCCAAATAATTGCCTGGTCTCATGGAATGGAATCATAGAATCCCTACAGTGTGGAAGCAGGCCATTCAGCCCATCAAGTCCACATCAACCCTCCAAAGAGCATTCCACCCAGACGCACCCTCTACCCTATCCCTGCGTTTCTCACTCTGCACACTGTGGGAAATTTAGCATGGCCAATCCACCTAACCTGCACATCTTTGGACTGTGGGAGGAAACTGGAGCACCCAGAGGAAATCCACGTAGACACGGGGAGAACATGCAAACTCTACACAGATAGTCACTCAAGGCTGGAATCGAACCCAGGTCCCTGGTGCTATGAGGCAATAGTGCTAACCACTGAGCCGCCGTGCTGCCCTGTCCTCTTGAATGCCTCAAGTGAACCTGCCTATACCACGTTTCCAGGCAGTGCATTCCATATCTTAACTACTTATTGTACGGAACCATTTTTTTCTCGCACTGCCTTTGCTTCTTTTGAACATTACTTGAAATGGATGCCCCTCATCTTGCCCAAATTGCGTTTGGAAACAGCTTTTTCCTATTTACCCTGTTCAGCCCACTCGTGACTTTGAAAACCTTTATCAAATCTCCTCGCAGCTGCCTTCTCTCTGAGGAGAAGTGTCCCAACTTTTTCAATCTCTCCTCATCACTGACACTTCTCATTGCTGGAACTATTCTTGCAAACCACTTCTGCACTCTCTCTCCAATGCATTCACACCTTTCCTATAATGTGGTGTCCAAAACTGTACACAATCCTCCAGCACAGATCTAACAAGTGTCTTGTACAAGTTCAACATCACCTCCTCCCTCTTGTACTCCATGCCCCTATTAATAAAGCTGGGGACACTGTCTGCTTGATTAACCACATTCTTCACCTGTCCTGCCACATTCAGTGATCTGTGCACATATAGACCTAGCTCCTTTTGCTCCTGCACCCACTTTAGAATTGTACTCCCTATTTTATATTGTCTTTCAATGTTCTTCCAAATAAAGTGCATCACCTCACACTTCTCTGAACTGAACCTCATCTGCTATCCTCCACCCACTCGTCAATGTCCTTTGGGAGTTTTACACTGTCCCCCTCACCGTTTACAATTCTTCCAAGCTTATTGTCTTCTACAAACTTCGAAATTGTATACCCTGCCCAACAAAATCCAGATCATTAACGTAAATCAGAAAAACCAAGGGTCCTGATGATGATTCCTGAGGAATTCCACTACAAATTTTTCTCTCGCCTGAAACATATTCAATGACCATTTTTTTCTCTGTTTCTCATCACTGGATCCACATTGGTACTGTCCCTTCTATACCATGACCTATAATGTTTCTCAACAGTCTGTATGGCACTGTATCAAACGCTTTCTGGAAATCCATGTATACCATATATTCAGCGTTACCATCATCAAGCCTTTCTGTTCCCTTCTCAAATTACTCCACATCAGTTAAACATAACTTCCCCTTTAGAAATCCATGCTGACTGTTCTTAATCGACCCACCTTTTTCCATATGACTGCTAATTCTATCTTGATTTTTCTTTGCTCTGTACTCAGATCCTCTTGTGATAAAGGCTCGTGTACCATTGGACTTCCAATTGCTTGCTGCACCTGCACATGAATTCAGAGAACTAGGGGCGTAGTTTTTAAAAAAGGGTCTCTTGGTTTAAGTCAGCAGTAAGAGGGAATGATTTCCTCTGAGTTGATGGTCTGTAGAATTGTCTTGCCCAGGAAGCACTGGAAGCTGGGTAGTTAAATTTATTCAAGGCTGAGTTAGACACATTTTGATTACAAGGGAATCTGGGACTATGAAGTAAGGAAGAGATACAGGTCTCATCTCCACTTATCTACCCTTGCTTCCATTCTGTCTGTCCTTGCCCAAAAAATCCATTATCTCAGTCATCCCAGCTTCATTCAGGCCAGCATCCACAGCTCCTTTTTGGGACAGACTGTTCTACATTTTGACTTGTTTTTACGTGAAAAAGTTGCTTCCTGACACCACCATCTGAACAGCCTGGCTCTAACTTCAGAATTAAGCCACTTTATGCTGGACTCTCAATACTGAGGAAATGGTTTCTGCATCAAAACTATTTGCTACGTGTAACAGGATGACTAATATGACGGTACATCCACTGATCCCTTGAGATACCAAGTGGAGAGATGATCATACTGTGCCGCTGAGCGTGAAGGCTCCATGCTCTGGGACTCATGGCCTCAGTTACACCTTGCGACACCATTTATCTTCCACTTAGGGAGCAGGTACCCTCATGGTGATGGACTTGTGATCACTGTCCACAGTCTTCATGAGATATTGGAGTCAGTGACCTCTGCTGATGAGTCAGTGATGAGAAGTCAGTTTATTTTTACACTGCAAGATTATACTGTGTTCCTCTGGATAGTGGGGTCAATATCAGCTGTGTGAACATTCTGTACTGTTCGATCCTGTTGAAACTCTGGGTCATTCAGATATCTCCAGTAAATCACCTCTCAACCTTAACTTGGTTTTAAAAGCCAAGTTTGTGCAAGCTGTACTCTGCATTGAAACTGTTACAGTTGTTCATCGAAAGTTTCTCTGTTTTGCTTCTAGCTGTGGAAAGGCAGGTGGCAGGGGAATGACATTGTCATCAAAGTCCTGAAGGTGCGTGATTGGACCACACGCAAAAGCCGTGACTTCAATGAGGAGTATCCAAAGCTCAGGTACTTGAGGCCTGAGGGACTGCGAGTGGGATGTGAATGTGGAGGAGGGGGTGATGTGGTGGTGGTGCAAGGCCACAATATGAAGATGAGGCTGGGTGTGAGGGTAAGGTCAGGTACGAGGAAGGACTGGGCAGGGAGCAATGCTGTGAGCGGTGGAAAGAGTCTCTTCTCGGTTTCTCAGTTCTTTGATTTAATAATATTCTGCTGTTTCTCTTTGCAGGATATTCTCCCACCCCAATGTGCTGCCTGTTCTTGGAGCTTGTCAGTCACCGCCGGCCCCACATCCCATCATCATCACACACTGGATGCCTTATGGGTCTCTGTACAATGTCTTGCACGAGGGAACAAGTAAGTTCGGGGGTGGACTAATGAGCTGTAAAAACATGCCGAGGTGGATAACAAGGTGTAGAGCTGGATGAACACAGCAGGCCAGCTAGCATCAGAAGAGCAAGAAAGCTGATGTTTCGGGTCTGGACCCTTCTTTAGAAATTAAACCCTTTCCATCCATAAACCCATCCAGATGCCTTTTAAATGTTGTAATAGTACCAGCCTCCACCACTTCCTCTGGTAGCTCATTCCGTGCACATACCACCCTCTGCATGAAAATGTTGCCCCTTAGGTCCCTATTAAATCTTTCCCCTCGCATCTTAAACCTATGCCCTCTAGCTTTGGACTCCATACCCCAGCGAAAAGATCTTGGCTATTCACTTTATCCATGCCCCTCATGATTTTATAAACCAGGGAAAAAGTCTCAGCCTCTCCCTTTAGCTCAAACCCTCCAACCCCAGCAACATCCTTGTAAATCTTGTTACTGTCAGCACTCGAGCTGCAACTGTAAATGGACAAGCTCTCCTTTATCTTATGTTTAACAGTCTGAGAGTTACTTATGGAATGTGATTGGTGTTGGTGTCATTAACTCAGCCACACCTCCCATCCCCTTCATTGCAGCCTGAAGATTGACTGGGGAAATGTCACCCAGAGGTACTGGTCCCTCTGCTCATCCAATGACCTCTGTGGGGAAAGTTGATGTGTTTGTGTGGGGATTGGATAACGATGGGAAAGCTGATCTCCTTCAACCATTGGGAAGGAAAACTGGCATTTCCTGCTCACGCGACCGGAGACACAGTGCTGCTTGGGGTAGACCTGGGATTACTAGCCATCTCTTAAAATTTCTGCTGTCACCTTTTCAGATTTTGTGGTGGACCAGACCCAGGCAGTGAAGTTTGCACTGGACATTGCCCGGGGGTTGGCTTTTCTGCATACTCTCGAGCCTCTCATCCCCAGGCATTATGTCAACAGCAAGAGCATCATGGTGAGTGCCTGCATCTCGGTTCTCTTAAAAATCAATTCCCGCAACTTTGGACCAGCCAGCAACAGACCAGCATTTCCTCAGCCACAGACTTGACTCCAGGATGGTATCTTTTCTCCCTGGTACCAACACGGGGATGTCACTGAGTGGCTGCAGAATGTTTTTGGTGCTGGTAGTGGTGTTTGTGGTTTGGGAGACTTATTGGAAGGAGAGCTGTGCAGATCGCTACTGAAGTCATGGATAGGAAAAGGGATGTGGGTCTGCCAACTCAGTTTAGGGAGATAAATAGAAAACACTCCCTTCAGTGGTGGTAATCTCTGAATTTTTCTCCATGTCACAGGCGAGTGAGTAAAAGAATAGGAGGATAGAGCAGTTAAATGTGTGGCTGAAGAGGCAGTGAAGGCAGGAGTGCTTTAAATTCCCAGAACATGGGGATTGACAACATTGAGAGATGAAATGTATACAGGGCAGATGGAGCAGAAGTAGTGAATAGATTGGAGAAGCTTGGTTTGATCTCCTGAGAGGCAAGATTGAGAGAAAATTCACATAGAATTTATAACACCGAACCAGGCCGTTCAGCTCCATTTGTTTGAGACCACACAGACAGCAATGGTTCAAGAAGGCAGTGAGCTCACCAGTATTCTTCTCTAAGGCAATGCTGGCCCGACCAGTGATTTCCTCACCCCAATGAAGAGAAAAAACAAGGTGCTCAAAATCATCAGGTGCCTGGAGAGCGGAGATTAGGAAAAGCCCCTTTCAGTGTTTGAAGGATTGAGAACCACAGGAGACAGATTGAAAGCAGTTGAAAAGGACCAATGGTGACGAGTGAAAGAGTACTTTGTGCACCGACACATGGATCGGGTCCAGATTGCAGTTCCTGAGATTGTAGCAGAGGCAGGTACAACTGTGAGATTCAGAAGAATATTGTTAACGTTTGGAGAACAATACAACTCATATGACCATAATACACAGGAGCAGAATTAAGTCTGCTTTGACATTCGATCATGGCTGACATGTTTCTCAACCTCATTCTCCTGCCTTCTCCCCATAACACTTGATCTCCTTAGCAATCAAGAATCTCTCCATCTCTGTCTTAAATACACTCAATGACTTGGTTTCTGGCCTCTGCAGAAATGAGTTCCACAGATTAACCATCCTGTAAGCTGAAGAAATTCCTCCTCATCTCTATTCTAAAGGGTCGTCCCTTCAGTCTGAGGCTGTGTCCTCAGGTTCTAGTCTCTCCTACTAGTGGAAACATCTCCACATCCACTCTAACCAGGCCTCTCAGTATTCTGTAAGATTCAGTGAGATTCCCCCTTCTAAACTCAATCGAGTACAGACCCAGAGTCCTCAACTGCTCCTCGCATTACAAGTCCTTCATTCTTGTAAACCTCCTCTGGATCACCTCCAACGCCGACTCATCCTTTCTTAGATGCAAGGTCCAAAACTGCTCACAATATTCCAAATGCAGTCTAACCAGGGCCTTATACAGCATCAGCAGTACATCCCAGCTCTTGAAATGAATGCTGACATTACATTTCCTTCCTAACTTCCAACTGAACCTGCATGTTAATGTTAAGACAATCCTGAACTAGGACTTCCAAGTCCCTTTATGCTTCAGATTTCCAAAGTCTTTGCCCATTTAGAAAATAGTCTATGCCTCTGTTCTTTCTGCCAAAGTGCATAACCTCACACTGTCCAATACTATTCTGTCTGCCACTTCTTTGCCACTCTCCAAGCCTGACCAAGTCCTTCTGCAGCCTCCCCCTTCCTCAACACAACCTGTTCCTCCACCTATCTTTGTGTCATCTGGAAACTTAGCAGTTCCTTCATCCATGTCGTTAATGTGAAACGTGAATAGTTGTGGTCCCAACACTGACCCCTGCAGAACTCCATTCGTCACCAGCTACCATCCTGAAAAAGATCCCTTTATCCTGACTCTCTGCCTTCTGCCAGTCAGCCAATCCTCTATCCATGCCAGTACCTTACCCTAACACAGTGGGCTCTTATTTAATAGCTTCCTGTGCAGCACCTTCTCAAAGGCCTTCTAGAAATCCAAATAGATCACATTCACTGGCCCTCCTTTGTCTAACTTACTCTTTTGCTCCTTAAAGAATTCGACCAAATTTTTCAGGTATGACCTCCCCTTGACCAAGCCATGCTGACTCAGCCTGATTTTACCATGTACTTCCAAGTACTCCACAATCTTATCCTCAATAATGGATTTTAAAATCCTACTAACGGCCGAGGTCAGGCTAACTGGCCTATAACTTCGGGTCTTCTGCTCCCCTACCACCTTAAAGAGGGTGTTACACTAGACACTTTCAAGTCCCAATGGGAAAGGGTTAAGGAAAAGGACAAGGCAAGTTTCTTTTGCAGAGAGATGGCACAGCCATGATGGGCTGAGTGGCCTCCTCAACTGTAACCATACTCTGCTCCAAATTACTAATATTAAATATAACTGAATAATCTTCGTTCACAAGAGATTTTAAAGATACAGTATAGGGACAAATGGGTGTAGGGAGTTTGTTTGCAAGCCTGTAATGATCTCATTGCATGATGAGATAGGGTAAAGGGGCACAATGGCTTCTTCCTGTTGCAATGATTCTGCATCAATCCCAGATGGACGCTACAAAGACTGTATCATTATCATTATCATTTTATTTTCTGAATTTTTGATTGTGGACCAAGAACAGAAAAGCAATTGTTTTAAAACCAAGGACTACAGAAGGAATTGCTGCACTTTTCAAGTTACTGAAACTCACTGTGTGTGGTATTTTCAGTGGTGCCTTGTTCAGACACTAGAGGAAGCTGTTTGCAGACAGCCCAGCTCTAAGGTGTGTTGCTGGAGTGAGATTTAGCCAGAAACAAGTTGCTGATTGGCTTGTGTAATTATCACCAAAGGATGCCAAAGGTCATCATCCTAGTGACAGCTCTCTGGTTCCTAGGTACTTCATTGGAAGAAACCTTTGAACTGCTGGAAGACAGGTTATGTGTCTCTGTTTATCTGCAGTAAAAATACCTGAAGCCAGAAAAAAGCCCATTATTTTCTCCTACCAGTTACTGTAAGCTGTGGTCTGTAACCAGTAAATAAGTGATTATGTAGTTAGTGTACCAGTTGCCCTGTGCCACCTGTGAAAAAGTGAAAGAACGTGGAGAAAGTTGATTAAGGAACAAAAGGTACTGGCAAACCAAAAGGAACATCTCAATGATCCCTGCAGACTGGTGCTAATGAACAGGAACATTTTCTCTCAATGTCTGTTTCACTTCAGCCCTGTTTATCTCATTCTGTCCTGTACCACACAGATTGACGAGGATATGACGGCTCGAATCAGCATGGCTGACGTCAAGTTCTCCTTCCAGTGTCCTGGGAGAATGTACGCTCCTGCCTGGGTCGCTCCAGAAGGTGAAGTATCCCAGTTATTTCCTTACCACTGATATCTGAATAACAGGCACCATCATAGGCAGCAGATAGCTACACACCTCAGTCCCTTGTCAGTATGTATTGGAGAAAAATACTCATTGCTAGAGTCAGGTATCCTGACTACTACCACTCCCTGATATCCAGATTACTCCCACCTTGTGTCTGATATCCCAATTATACCCGTTCTGTGTTTGAATCCCAATTATATCCATTCTATGTCTGATGTCCCAATTGTACCCGCTCTCTGGTATCTAGATCACACCCACTGAGAGCTGGATTTCCGTTTAAGGAATAGGTAGGACTAGATAAGGTGTGAAGATTGGTGAATCATTAGTGCCGCAGCACTCCATCATCCAAAGCCACATTGTCTCCATACTCTCTTCCCCACTAATGTCAGTGTTAAAATATGTCATTGTAATTCAGTGATTCAAGAGTACACTGTGGTAGGCTAGATTGTTGAGTATTAGTTTGTTGTTCCTTGTTGGGTATTAATTATGACCCAGTAATTCCTGATGGTTTTTTTAATCGTTTCTATACGCAGCTCTTCAGAAAAAGCCAGAAGAGATTAACCGGCGGTCTGCAGACATGTGGAGCTTTGCGATTCTCCTGTGGGAGCTGGTGACTCGGGAAGTGCCCTTCGCAGACCTCTCCAATATGGAGATCGGTATGAAGGTAGGATCAACTCACTATCTGCAGAGAGAAAGATTTTACCCCCACTCCTACTTCCCTGAATATGTCATCAATGAAACGTGGTTTTGGATATTTTGGAGGGACTTTATTGAAGTGAAATGCATTGAAAATCCCACGTGGCTTTACCAAGGTTACAGCGATCTGTAATACTGACTCATGTCTAATTCTAATAATGAATCTAATCTATACTACTGTTGTGCTGTCGCAGGGTCAGTGCTGAGGGAGCGCCGCGCTGTCGCAGGGTC